GGGAACACAGAAGAAACATCTAACATTGTGAACCAGGAGGCATTGGGCAGGGATATTTATCCCCAAAAGGTGTAAAGACTGGGGATTATAGGGTGGACCAGGATATCTCATTTATGGTCTTCACGTCCTGGAATATTCTGTGGGCTCCATATGACTTCTTTACTGCCCAGATGGGGCTTTGCATGGAGCGTTACAAGGAATAGTTTCAATAGCCTAGTGATCGAAGGTTATCATGAGACTGTGTTTCCATGCTGGGGTGACAGTGGGGCCATCGGTGAGTTTCCTGGAATGGAGATATCCAGACTGGGGAGAAGCTTGTTGGCTGATGTGGGGGCCTGTAGCAGAGATTGTGGGAGGTGGACAGCTAGCAGGCCCCAGACAGCTCATAGCGATTACAGAACAGGAGACTTAGTGTCATGGCTACCACAAGAGCCTCTGGAATCTCAAGAGGGTCCAGAGATACAGGAGCTTGTGCAGCCTCAGAACCCCGTCAGCTCTCAAGGTCTTCATTTGAATCCTCAGCGCCCAGCAACAAAGAGCTCGGGGCATTTGGTCATTTTCAGTTTGACTTGAACCTGAGGTCCTTGGATAAAGACTGGCCTCACAAGGGGCTTATACCTGCGCCTAACCTTGCCCTACAAGGTGGTGCCTGCCCTCACAAGGGGGTTAGGGGGGAACACCCGCCCTCACAAAGAGGGCGCATTCTTGCTCCTGGTGGGCCTCTGCTTTGCAGATTGGACAAGACCCTTGGGGGAGGGCTTTTAGTCGGGTGGTCTTGGATGCTCTTGGCTGAAATGTCCTAACTGACCATGGAACAGAGTCCTTGGAGCAGAGGCTGGGAGCTTGGGGTAGTTCCCTTAGATGAGCCCTGGCCATCACTAGGGGGAGCTCTAGGCTCTCCTGAGATGGCGGGAACAGGACAATTTTTTTTTTTTGCTACAGCTATTAATTGCACCTGCCTCTTTTTTAAAAAATGAAATAAAATAATGGTTTTATCAATTCTTTGAAAATTTCATACAGTGTATTTTGATCATATTCACACACACACACCCAACTCTTCACAGATAATTCTCTTGCCTCCCTACCCACCCAGCTCCACCTGACCCCTCGCCCTCCCTCCCTTCAAGTCCCGCTTATGTTGGTCAACTACTCCTGGTGTGAGGCCTGCCCTGGAGTGTGCTCCATATGGTAGATGTCACTCCACTGAAGAAAGATGCCTTCGCTTCTCCCAGCAGCAACCAAATGCTAACAGCTCCTCACTGGAGGTGGAACTTCGTGCCCGCCTCTCCTTCTTCAACCAGGGGTTTTATCTGGCTTGAGCTTGGGCATGCTTTCACAGACACTGTGCATTCATACCTGCTGCATCTGTCCTTTGGGTCTAGAAAACACCGTTTACTTGAAGTTATCCACCTCCGGCTCTGACAATAGTTCTGCTCCCTCTATTGTACAGATTCCTGAACCTTAGGAGAGGGACATCCCATTTAGGGCGTGGCCATCAGAAGTCCCTTGTAATTTGCATGTTGAGCAGTTGTGGGTCTCTGTGTTAATTGTCATACACTACATGAAGAAGCTTTTCTGATGAGGGGTGAGTGATGTCAAAATCTATGGGAATGGTTAGCAAGTCACTAGGAATTATGTTATCAACTATGTTCATTTAGCGGTAATAGTAGTAGGCTTTCTCCCTCTGGCCCATGACCTATCTAGCCACAAATCTGTGGCCTCATTGACAGTGTCAGATATGAGTTCTATCTTGTGGAGTGGGCTTTCAATCCAGTAAAAGATACGTGGTTGGTTATCCCTATGACCTCTGTGCTCCTACTGCACCAGTGGACAAATATGGCCAGGGCGTCCATTACTGGGGCTTCCTTTCTTCCTCCATTTTGGCACTTTTGGCCCCCAGAGTCCCCTAACTGTTACTAAAGATCTTGAAGACAATGTCTAATAAAGTAAGAAAGGCAGTCTGGGGTCCCTGGTCCAGTGTTTGAAACTTTTTTGTGTAATATCTAGAGAGGCCAAACATATAAAATGTAGAGTCAGGATGACTTGGCCCTCTGGACTCTCAAGGTTTAGATTAACTTACTTGTGTGTGAGCTCAGCTAGCCTACATTGAAAGTAGGTAGGGTGTGTGGAAGCTCCCTGCATTATTTCCTATAACTATGACAGTTAGTACATTTGGTAATGGCCTTTTTCATTGCCTCTAGTAGACAGACACTCCTATGGCCTCAATGAATCCTTCCTCCTTCATTCTCTACTTGGGTGGGCTGATGTGACCAATGGGATTCCATAGAGGGCACAGTAGTGGAGCCTGACTAGGCTGTATTTGCATTACGAGACTGAATCTCATTTGCCCAGGAGTGTAAGACATCGAAGAACAGACGTAGAACTTTTCCTGATGCATGCAGCAGGTGGCCAGGAATGACACACGTCTTACCAGCCTAGGCCAAAGCCACAGTGAACCCTTTGGAATCCTCTGGGGTAGGTAGAAGAGTTCTTAAACAATCCGTTTGGATTCTATATAGGATTGGAGAGATGTGGGGAGAAGGATCATACTGAGGTCTTTATCAGCCACCTCTTGAAGGGGAAAGATGTTTTCTCAGGGGAGGGGATTGCAGGTGCGTCTTCTCTGAGCTCCCTATATAAGTGAGTGGTGATGAGAGTTTGTCTAGTTAGGGAGGGGAATGGTTAGGGAAAGCTCTGTGGATGGAGATGAGAGAAGGGGGGGAGGAAGGAAGAGGAGGAGAGATCTGACAGAAGACACGAGCAGAGTTAAGTGAAGCCATGGCTGGTCTTGGAAAAGCTGGAGGCTGAGTGGGGCCTCATGTGAAGGAGGCACTATCAAAACTGGCCTCTGGGGCTGAGGTCACCAACCATAAAATTATTTTCACTGAGACTTCATAACTGTAATTTTGCTACTGTTATGAATTGTAATGTCAATATCTGATATGCAGGTTATCATATGCAACCCCAAAAGGGTTGTGACTCACAGGTTGAGAACTGCTGATCTAGGAGAAAAATGATCACATGCATTCTGGCTACAAGCCTGATTCATTGCCATGTTGATAGCTAAATGTGAAAGGAATGTTATCTCTACATTGACAGAATTCACAGTGCATGCTGGGGTTCTCGACTCTCCACTGGCAAGCTCTGGAGAGTGGGCCCTTTTATTTCCCACGTCCCCATAGTTTCCCCTATCTGTCCTGCTGCAGTTCCCCTAAAACTTACAGAACCACAGTATAACTCACCAATTCCACTCCCCAGTATATATTCAAAAGGAGTGGGACAGGTGTGTATCCAAAGACCCTGTACATGAATGATCACACCAGCGCTACTCACACCAGTTGAGAGGGAAGCAGCCTAGATGTATCTATCACTCAGTCAGGAAAGGGAGGAAGGTCCAGATGGGTGTGGCTCTGGGGATGAACCATTAATATCAAGCTGAAGAAACAGACTCAAAGGGTCAGATGTGGTCCTTCAAAACCCCAGAGATAAATCCAGACACAGAAAACAGGCTAGTGTTTGCCTGGGGCCGGGAGAAAGAAACTTGAATGCCAACTTGATAAACGGGGGTTTCTTTGGGGGCTGATGAAATGCTTTGCAACTAGGCAAGAGTTATGACTGCACACTTGGCTGAAAGCCGCTGAGACCCACACTTACAAATGGTGCATTTTATGTGGTCTAAATTTACCTCAAAATATCTTATCCTATAGCGTCCTGTTCTGTGATGCAGTTATAATATTTTCTATTGTGTCTTTGAGGTTCTAAGTTTTTATCCTTATAAACTCAGTATTTATTATGGGTTTCTACATCAGCTTTTCAGAGAGTTGATGATCGTAGGTTGTTTTCTCATCCTCAAGACAGCGAATCAAATAAGCAAAGTGTTCACTGAGGACTGTGTGTTAAAGGCTTAGACCCCAGTGCAGCGCTAGTGGGAGGCTGTGGGACCTTTAAGAGGTGGGGCCAAGCGGGAGGATGTCCAGTCATTGGAAGCTTGGCCATGAATGGGATAGTGAGAGCCCAGCCTCTTTCCTTTTCTTTGACTCCAGGTCATGAAGGGAGCCTCTCTGCTCCATCACAGGCTCCCCCAGACAACACAGGCAGCTGACCACAGGATGAAGCTTCCAAAACACATTAAATGTTTTCTCTGTATCTACTGATCACACCTGGTTTATGGTATAGTCATGGACACTGACTAACACTGCAGAGCTTTGTTCTCCACTATGGGCAACAGGAGCTTTGTGTTGGGGAATGCCTGGTACTCTTTTGTTATTTTAGTATATACTTTTAAAAAATTATCTTAGATTTGACCAAATTTTCTAGATTAAGCAATAAAAACGTCCTTCCTGGAAAGTGAAACCAAATCAAAGCATTGTGGAATCGAGGAACAACAACAAAATCCATCTCTTTTCTAATTACTTTGAAAATGTGTTTAAAAGTAACAACTAAAAGTTACCATTTATAATAACATCATGGCCCCAAATAGTTGCAGCACATATTTTAAATCTTGGGTATTTATTTTATAAGTGCTTTTGTGGCACAATACATAGACAGAGGTAGAAGAGGTACCTGATATTCACTCACTGTGAGGATTCAGCAGCAGAGGATGCATGGAAGAGTAAAGCACATTTACAGTACGGAAAAATCAAACTGACGTATTTGGAAACCATGATAAAGTGAAAGGCTTTCTTAAAAGCGGAGCTTCTGGGGGCTTGGGAGTACTCAATATTAGAGCACTTGCCTAGCATGTGCTGAGGCTTGTGGATTCTCCAGCACACCCCAAATTTGGATAGCCATTCATTCATTTGTTCATCCCACACACACACACACACACACACACATATCCTAGTGTTGAACAACACACAAGGGCCTTGCTCACACTAGGCAAGCATACTGCATCTTTCTTGACCTGCAGTACAATGGGGTGGGGTCTCAGTGCTCACTGGCAGCATTGCTACCCACAGTTAAGAGAAACTTCTGTTCCACTAATAAGCTCATGTCCACGTTCAGGACATGGCACACAATTATCACCAGTCCACAGGCTGGTGGGAATCCCATCTTAGCCACGGTCACTGAGAACTCGCACTACAATTCCCACTATGAGGACAGCAATAGAAAGAGTCAGAGCCATCCCACGATAGATGATCAGCTGTCTCCCAGTCAAGACCTCTCCGACGGTGGGCACTGCGTGCTGGCTGCTTTCTTCTACTACCAGCTGGCCAGTCTGGCTCTCCGGTCTGATGATGTCGGGCAAAATCACTCCATCAACAACTTCTCTTTCCAAGATGGGCAGATCTGTTTGAAGACAGCGGTGGAACATTCATTTTGTCACTGTGGTATTAAAAAATGATCTTCAATTGTCAGTTAGTGTACATGACATTACATAATAAACATTTAACAGGAGCATTCAGAGCTGGTCTGGCAAATTATGGCGGAGACAGATGTTATTGTCACGAGAGCAGGAGCTCATAAACTCAACCTCTCTGGACAACTGAGCTTCAGACTTTATAAAAGGAGAAGTAGAACTATAAAGAGAGTGGACCATTACCTGCTGGGATGGGTATTATCTCCTTGTTGCTTTTTAGCCCAGCTCGAACTTGTGCCTAAAAACAAGGCCACATGAGTAAATGAGGAAGAAATCAAGTCAAGCTGTAGCTCTCTGTTAAAGCTTCGATTTAAAGCTAGTGCTAAAAGGCTGTAATATCAGAAGCAGCCTTTCTTGGTCATGAAAATGTCACGTGACAACACCAGAAAATGGCTGATCTCCCAATGCTCCACTGACAGCAGTAACAGAAAAGCTGAGGGTTTAACATGTTTGCACTTATGCCTTTAGTGTCTCCAAATTTGAATAAAAGGACAAAATCTAAAGGTAAATGACATCACCATCTAAAAGCTAGTTTACTGACCAAGTGAATATCAATTTTTTTCCAATTATGTGTATGGGTGTTTTTGCTTGCATGTCTGTGGGCCATGTCATGCAGTTTCCATGGAGGCCAGAAGAGGGCATTAGATCCCCTGGAACTGGAGTTACAGGCAGTTGCAAGCTACCTTGTGGGTGCTGGGAGACAAAGAGGGATTCTCTGGAAGAACAATCAGTTCTCTTTACTGAGTAACCATCTCTCCAGGCCCCAAGTCAACAGTCTGTATATTCTATTCCCTCAACAAATCAACATGAACTTAAGAAACACACAAAACATGTCCATTAGGCAAAGGCAAAGGGGTCAGAAATCTAAAGGGTGACAGCCAGAATCCCTGAACACCCCCCTCCTTATTAAGGGTTCTTCCTCCTGGCCACCCATCTGTCTTACATTGGGCCTCACCACAGTGAGATGAGCACAGTCTCTGCTCACACACTCACATGGGTCACCACCCCTGCCCACATGTCCCACAAATCACAAATATTTAACACATTACTTTTTCGTAAGGACAGATCAATAAAAAGTTCAATCGAAGCCTTAAAAAGAGCTAATCAGAAAGCCAGGCGTGGTGGCACACGCCTTTAATCCCAGCACTCGGGAGGCAGAGGCAGGCGGATCTCTGTGAGTTCGAGGCCAGCCTGGTCTCCAAAGCGAGTTCCAGGAAAGGCGCAAAGCTACGCAGAGAAACCCTGTCTCGGAAAAAAAAAAAAAAAAAAGAGCTAATCAGTATAAACAGGAAACTATTTTTCTAACTTTATTTACAGAAAAACAAAAATATATTGAGGCCAATTTCTGTTTCCTTTTCTGGCTAAGAGGAACCGTCTCTCTGTCTCTCCCTTCAGCTCCCCACATAGTCAGTATGGTTCATGATATGTTGTCTGTCTCGAAACTGGTGGGATTTTATTTGTCATTTCACCAAGAAAGATGCCTTGTCAACCATGGGATCAAGTGCCTCGTCAACCATGGGATCAAGTGCCTCGTCAACCATGGGATCCAATGCCTCGTCAACCATGGGATCCAGTGCCTCGTCAACCATGGGATCCAATGCCTCGTCAACCATGGGATCCAGTGCCTCGTCAACCATGGGATCCAGTGCCTCGTCAGCCATGGGATCCAGTGCCTCGTCAGCCATGGGATCCAGTGCCTCGTCAACCATGGGATCCAGTGCCTCGTCAACCATGGGATCCAGTGCCTCGTCAACCATGGGATCCAGTGCCTTTTCAGTCATGGGATCCAGTGCCTTGTCAGCCATGGGATCAAGTGCCTTGTCAACCATGGGATCAAGTGCCTTGTCAACCATGGGATCAAGTGCCTTGTCAACCATGGGATCAAGTGCCTTGTCAGCCATGGGATCAAGTGCCTTGTCAACCATGGGATCAAGTGCCTTGTCAACCATGGGATCAAGTATTGATGTGTTTTAAAATGACACGGAGACTGTTACCTGCTCTGCGACACTATTCCAGTCTGTCCTCATGATGTAGATTAAATATGAGAGGGCCTGGGAGAAAACACAGACTACCAGTCCGGACCAGAGGCCTGTGGGCACAAAATGAACATCAGGGCCATCAATTCCGTTCCCATGATCATTAAAATCCTCCCTTGATAACTCATACTCAGTGGAGCAAACTTTCAATTAAATTAACTTCTCAAAAATTTTAGATAAACGTGAAGCAGAGAAGACTGAAGTCTGTCACCAAGCTATTAGAGATGCTGAAGGACAGATGATGAGCAAAGAAACAAACTGGAAATTTAAAAAGTAGTGGGTGTGTGGCAGGCACTCTCTGGTCATTAATGATGACCTGCAGTGCAGTCCGAATGAGTGGCCAGGTGTCTTCTGAGATGGAGACCTGAACCAGTCTAGGGAAGGTCCAGGCCTGAAGTACAGACTAAAGCAGGAAGAGCATGCTACAGGAAGATGCCAGCTTGGGAGCCCCTTGAGCAGAGAGGCCAGGTAGGAAGTGACAATGTTGGAGAAGACCACGGAGGACATGCAAGCCACAGAAAAGTCCAGGAGTTTCTATTTATCCATGGTAATGAGGACTCACGAATGGGTTTCAGACTGGTGTATGCATGGATGGATGTGAGATATGGGTTTTTAAAGCTTGCTTTGAGCCGGGCGGTGGTGGCTCACGCCTTTAATCCCAGCACTCGGGAGGCAGAGGCAGGCGGATCTCTGTGAGTTCCAGGCCAGCCTGGACTACAGAGTGAGTTCCAGGAAAGGCGCAAAGCTACACAGAGAAACCCTGTCTCGAAAAACCAAAAAAAAAAAAAGCTTGCTTTGAAACCAGGCATGGTGGTTCATGCCTACAATCCCAGCGTTCAAGAGGCTGAAGCAGGAAGATATCAAGGCTATCCCAGGATTCATAGTTAGTTTCAAGTCAGTCTGGAATAAAGAGTGAGAGTATGGAGGAGGAGGAGGAGGAGGAGGAGGAGGAGGAGGAGGAGGAGGAGGAGGAGGAGGAGGAGAAGGAAGGAAGGAAGGAAGGAAGGAAGGAAGGAAGGAAGGAAGGAAAGAAGGAAGGAAGGAAGGAAGGAGGAAGGCAGGCAGTGAAGAGGGAGCCTTTCAAATGCCCCCTCCCAGAGGCAGTGGAGAGGCAGCACATAGTCATCTTCTCTGCCAGCTGTAATTTTGAGTTTTGCAAAGAAATGGGAGAAAATAAAATTTGCTACATGATAAAAATGTGCTGGTTCGACAGAATAGGAAGAATGATTTCCGCACATATTGAGGCAGTCATGCAGTTCTCTAATTAGACTTTAAAAAACAGTTCTGAGGATGTAGCCCAGAGCATCATGCATGGGAGGCATCCCCAGATCCACCTGCACTATTTTTAGTTTGAAATAAAATTCATTGCTACTAAAAGAAATGTATAGAAAATAAAAATGTGAATATATACATAAAACACATACAACTTTTAAATTACTTTGCACAATTCTAAACATTTTGAACCTCAATAAAACATTTCTAATAATTATATGGTTTATTCATGCTGACACAATAAAAAGTCCAAACAGAACTGATGGCTCTCAGATGCATAAACTTCTTTAAAAATCCGAGGTTAAAACAGCTTCATGGGAGAATTCCACAAAATGCTTACAAAAATAGATAAATCTTATTTAACTTGCATTGGGGAATACAAAACTTATGTTATGAAGTAAGCATTGTGTATAAGTAATGTTATTAATAGTATGCTCTGACAAGGGCTGAGGCTGTCTCAGGAGCAGAATGCTTGCCTAGCTCATGCAAGGCCATGGGCTCAGGCATGCACACCCAACAAAAATACACACAAAAAAAGAAAACTACCGTGAATTGCAAAATTCATATAAAGAGTAATTTAAAAGTCTAGCAGTTCAATTAGTACATCATAATCAGGATGGTTATAAGGAGGACAGTATCCTCCACCTTCCTATTTGACCTAAGGCTAAAAATTACAGAATTGTTTAAACAGGCACCAAAACAGCATTTGTCAAATTCTCAGACATTTTTGTTATAAGCATTCCATAAAACAGATTCCACAGTCAATTCTTTTAAATTTTAATTTATTATTTGTATATGTGTAATTATGTATGATTGTGTGTGCATAATTGTGTGTGATTATGTGTACATATAATTGTGTGTATATGGTTGTATGTTTATGATTATGTTCAAACAGTGGTGTATGCTTGTGTGCATGTATGACTGTATATGTATGATTTTGTGTGTATCAGTGTGCATGTAATTATGGTTGTATATAATTGTGCATGTATGATTGTGTGTGTATATGGTTATGTGCACACATATAGTATATATGATTGTGTGTGTATGTGACCATATATGATGGATATGGGTTACGATGTACATGTGAGAGTGTGGGCACATGTACCATGATGTCAGATGACAACTTCTAGGAGTTAGTTCTCTCCTTTCACAGTGGATTGAACGAGGGACTGAACAAGGTCATGAGCTCATGGCAAGTGCTTCTACCCACTGAATCACCTCACCAGCCCTCCACAGACACTTCTTAAACATGATTTAAAGCCATATGCACACGTGCACACTGCAGGCCCGAATCCATCATGCCCTTTAGTGGAGAAACACTAGGAGCATCCTGAAGTCATGAAAACCAGTCACTCCACGGTCACGGCTGGGCTCACTCCTGCGGCAGCAGGCAGCATGCAGGAACGCCTCCCTGTCCACAGAACAACTTTCCACCTGCTTTACCCCTCAGGTGACTAATTTTACTACATCAGTGAGATCGGGTGGGTCACTAAGGAAGCAGACACATACCTATTATCCCAAGTTTAGCAGCAAACATCAGAGACACTCCGATAGGAAAACCAAACCCGTAGTAACCAATGGCGTTCAGGATAGCGCCTATCTTTTGTTTTCCGGTACCTCTCAGGACCCCGCCACAGGTGCCCTGCGGGGAGGAAGCCAACAGTAAGAAGAGCAGAACAACAATGACCTTAAGTCACGCCACAAACAGCAGTTGTTCGTACTAAGAATAAGCCTCCAGGGATGGCTCTGGAATGTAGCCAAAGGGTCTTTAAACATCCGCAGGTCTACAGAAGACCAGCCCAGGAGAGACCCTCTAGTGGTCAGAGTTAGCTCACCACTACCCAACCTGCCTGGACGTATCCAGCAGTCACCATGCCGATTGGCCGGCACATCACTCTAGACACTCAGATGAGAGCCAGGCAAGGACCCTTGACGGACACGCACGTATTAAATCACAGACATGCAACTTTCAGATAAATAAGCTGGGAACGTTTTCAACACATATAGAGTGAAATCACTGAATACTTACCGCAAGCGCATCAAACAGATGAAATGGAGCAAAAATGGGCATCACTTGGCTCACAAGGGAAATTATGTCCCTGTTCAGGAGGAGGACAGTAGTCAGTGGCTTAGACACATCTGGGTCAGTAAGATGGCTCTGCGGACAAAGGTGCTTTCGGCTAAGCCTGATGACCTGAGTTCCATGCCCAGGATTCACATGGTAAAAGAGGAATCAACACCCATAAGTTGCCTGCTGACTGTAACACGAATCTTAAAAGGTCTTATTAATAAAAACAAACCCGGGAGCCAGGTATTGGGGTGAACGCTGAAAGATCAGAGAAACAGAACAAGCCACAGCTATCTCACCCCGCCAATTCCTCAGCTGATCCTGTTTCTTCAGACTGGAAGCCTCTGTGTCCTCATCTAAATGGATCTCAGGTGAACTGCTACTCAAAAGCCTAAAAGCTTAACCAGCTCTAGTTCCTGGTTTTCCCACCTTATATACCTTTCTGTTTTCTGCCATCACTTCCTGGGATTAAAGGCATGAGTCACCATGCCTGGCTGTTTCCAGTGTGGCTTTGAACTCACAGAGATCCGGATGTATCTCTGCCTTCGGAATACTAGGATTAAAGGCATGTGTGCCACCATTTTCTGACCTCTATGTCTATCTAGTGGCTGTCCTGTCCTCTGACCCCAGATAAGTTTATTAGGATGCACAATATATTGGGGCATACAATATATCACCACAGCTGACCTCCCCACATGTACTATGGCATGCACATTTATGAGAATGTGTGCATGTCCACACATACACACTAATTTTTTTTAAATCACAAGCCTAACAATTTAGTGCAAACATTACATTTTAAGTATATGATAAAACCATACTAATTCTAATTGTATTAATATATAGTTTCTGACACTATAAAGGATTTTTTCTTCTTTTAAAAAGATAAAACTTAAACTCACTAAGTTGTACAAGGCAAGCTGGCCTTGAACTTGTGATCTTCCTGTCCTTGCTTCCTGAGTAACTGCAATTACAGGTCTATTCCACCAGGCCAGGCTGATAATGGTTTATTTTACTCAACGGACAATTTCTTATACATAAATAATTATGTAATTATTGTTACAGAAAACACAATAGAAGTATAAGATTCAGTCTATGACTTTTGCAAACACAGCCTCGAATGAGGAGATGGCCACCATTCCTATAAGGTGTGCTGTCCTGTAAGGTGCCTGTCTGGGGATGAGACTAGCCTATATGCTTTCTTCTGTTTCTCAGAGCAAAACTGCACTCAATTTCTGATGAATGGCGTGGGTACTGGAAGACGGGGGTGATTTGCACGGGCTGGCATCATTCACCCTTACTTCTCATCTGTGCCCGCCTCTCCTTCCTGGCTGTGCTACCAGCCTTCCTGTGAAGTGAAGGGCAATGCCCCCTCATAACCAGAAGAATGCAGTGAAGAAATCCTAAGAGCAAAGACGGTTTCTGGACATCCACCTACTTGTCGTTGGTGAATATGTAGGCAACCACGTCCTTCAAGGCTGCCAGCAGAATTCCCACCAGGAGCGCACAGACACCTGGGAAATACAGAAGGAGTCACAGGAAACCACAGTTCTCCTGAATGTGACAAAGCTTCCCATGGGAGATTTGCATGAGTCATCTGAGAAACGTAAGGATGCAGCTGGGTGCAAGGACATGCACCTGCAGACCCAGCTATGTGGGAAGTTGAGGCAGGAGGATTGCTGAAATTTGTGACCTGGGCATTCAAAACCAGCCTGGGCAATGTGGTGAAACCGTATCACAAAATCAGTGCTACAGTGTAAATAGTAATTCTTTTTTACTCTATAAGAAAAAGTCAACTAAGATCTGTCTTAGATTCCTTCTAAGGGAGTCTGTTCCCCAAAGTAGAACCCTCAGGAACATGAGGATTACATTTTGAATGTTTCTGTCCCTCTGGTACTCAGGGTGAAATTTCACTCCCAACGCAGAAGGGAAGTGACTGGATCACCAGGGCGGTGCTGCCAGGCATGTCGGGGAGGGGGATGTTCTAAAAGGGCCTGACTGGGGACCCCCCACCTTTTCCACTTCCTTCTCTTCCATCACAAGAGTTCACATGGTTCCTCCCTTCAAGACAATCCAACATGAAGCAGATCTTGGAAGCTGAGAGCTGACTTCACCAGATAACCAACCTGGTGGTACCTAGATCCAGGGCTTGATCAGCCCTAAAAGCTGTGAGAAATAAGCTTTCCTCTTAACAAATTTACCCATCTCGGATAAGCACAAACCAGCTCAGACAATACGCTAAATTCAGTATGGATGCCACAGATATTGCTCACCAGCACACAGAAGAACTGTGGTACAGGAACATCGGGCCTGCTCAGCATTCCCTGCCCCCAGGGCATTGCCTACTCGGACACTGGCAGCCACACCGAAGCCAAAGGGCACCTGGGGGTGAGCAATCATAGAAACCGGAATGTTAAAGCAGTAGGATCCGACCACGTGGAGACTTCAGACAGACTTTACAATCTAGGTTCGAGAGAGAGTTCTTACTACATCCGAGCCGTGTGGCTAGAAACAGATGCCCCAACTGCCTTGAAACCCGATTTCTTCACTAGTAAGTGGGACAGTGCACCCCATAGAGCCTTAATCCAAGCAAGCCAGAGCAGAGCTGGATTCGGTGGGGGTTAGGGGTGGGGTGGGTGTGGGCTAGGGGGACTTCCATTACTAGCAAACACATAAACACTATCATAACTTAGTTTAAAATACAACCTACAAGGTCAGATTTAAGGTATATTTATCTATATACAATAGGTAAATAATTTCTAAAAGTTGAAGGAACTACGTGAAAACCACCTAGAACTTTTACTGCAGGATTCAGTGAAGGCTGGTGAAAGTGAACTCCTTAACTTCCTGACAGTGGGATAGACAAAACAGAACTGTCAACGTGATGAGATCTAGAGCAACCTGGGAAACCAGATTCTGAGCATGCCTGTGGGGAAAAGATCTATCTACCGTGAGTGGCACCATTCCTTAGACTGGGTCCCTGGACTGTGTAAAAAGGAGAAAGTTTTGGGCTGAGTGTGGTGGCACACGCTTTTAAGCCCATCACTTGGGAGGCAGAGGCAGGCGGATCTCTGTGAGTTGGAGGCCAGCCTGGTCTACAGAGTGAGTTCCAGGCCAGTGCAGGCAACATAAGACCTGTCTCAAAAATAAAGGAATGGAGGGAAAAAGGAGGGGAGGAGGGAGGCAGGGAGAGAAGGAGGGAGGGAGGAGTTGAGCACATGCGTTCATCACTGTATACTTCTCAACTGTAGTGTGGCCAGCTTCCTCAAGCTCCTGCCCTTGGGACTTCTCTGCCATGATGGACTGTACCCTGAAACAAAAACTGTAGCCAAATTCATTCTTTCTCCCTTAGGTTGCTTTTGTTGGGGTATTCTATCACAGCAACTAGACTCCCTTCAACTTGAATTACCGAAGTTTGATTTTTTAATTCTTGGTTATAGAAACCCCAAGCTCTGTTTCTGTACTTCTTCCTCCTCTTCCTCTTCTTCTCCATGTTTTTTGCTGTTCTTGTTTGAGACAGGGTTTCTCTGTGTAGCCCCGACTGTCCTGAACCTCTCTCTGTAGACCAGGCTGTCCTCGAACTCACAGAGATCTGCCTGCCTCTGCCTCCCGAATGCCGGGATTAAAGGCGTGCACCACCACCTGGCGGTTTCTGTGCTTCTTAAACAGACCATCAGCGAATCTTCAGCGTCACCTCTGAATTCTAAATTATCATCTCATGACCTGGTGCTGCCCTTCAACTCTGTGGGTAGCACTGGCTACACAGACAGCTTTCGTTTGGGCCACGTCTGCTTTGATAATTTACATGCCAGCTCTCACATCTCATCTCTACTGGAAGCACCGTCTCTTGGCAGCTGTCTAGTTTCTTATCATTTTGAAAATTAAGTTGAGTTAATAGAATTATATATTAATTTTTAAGATTACTAACTTTAAAATGGAGTGGGGGCGATGGCTTAGCAGGTGAGTTCAAATCCCCAGCACCCATGTCAAAAGCTAAGTCATGACCGTACAAGCCTGTAACCCCAGCACTGCAGGACAGGGAAAGGGACGGGAGGGTCGCTGCAGCTTGCTGGCCACGGGCCACCAGTTTAGCCCCAGGTTTAGGGGGAGGCCCTGTCTCAAGACAGAGAGTGAAAGAGTGGGACACCTGACATTCTCCCTGGCCTTCATGTGTTTGCACCTGCACACATGTACACATAGGTCATACACACACACACACACACACACACACACACACATACACACACACACACTTTTAAAAATAGGCCTGGCTGCACAGGAATATGTAGGATTTGTGCCCAAGTCTGCATAACCATCTTTTAGTTGGAGACAAATGAGCAACATGAAAAGTTCACAAGGAAACACATTCTCTTGTTCAAGTGATTTGTGCTAACACAGGGTGAAATTTAAAAATAAAAATAAAAAACAAGCTTCAGGCTAAATGGAATAAAATATTTATAAATACATATTGGATATTTTAAGAAGCAGATGAATATCCAGCTCATGTAGCTCCCTCCTCCCCCTAAATACAACTAGTAGGGTGTGCACTTGCACACCTCACTAACACTGAGCCAGTAGAGTGTGCACCTGCACACCTCACTAACACTAGGCTAGTAGTGTGCACCTGCATGCCTCACTAACACTAGGCTAGTAATGTGCACCTGCACACCTCACTAACACTAGGCTAGTAGTGTGCACCTGCACACCTCACTAACACTGAGCTAGTAGAGTGTGTACCTATGTATCTCAGTAATACTGAGCAAGAGTACCCAGCCTTGGACCAGGACAGCAGGTACCAGTAACACACTCAGGGAAAAACTGTGAGAAACCACAGTGTTGTGGAATATTAGTTTAACATTCATTTATGCTGTGGAATATTTAATGATGCAAAGATGTGTTGCATTTGTTTAACCTGTAAAGCTGTGTTACTTTGCTGTCTAAAACACCTGATTGGTGTAATAAAGAGCTGAATGGCTAATAGCTAGGCAGGAAGAGGAATGGTGGGGCTGCCAGGCGGAGAGAGTAAATAGGAGGAGAACTCTAGGCTCAAGAGAGAAGAGCTAGGAGGGAGAAAAGGAGGAGAGGAGGACGCCAGGGGCCCGCCATCCAGCTACAGAGTAAGAGAGGAAGAAAGATGTATAGAATAAAGAAAGGTAAAAATCCCAGAGGACATAGAAGAAGAGAAATGGGTTAATTTCAGTTAGAAAAGCTGGCTAGAAACAAGCCAAGCTAAGGCCAGGCATTCATTAGTAAGAATAAGTCTCCATGTATTTATTTGGGGGCTGGGTGGCAGGCCCCCAAGGAGTAAAAGAAAAGAAAAGAAAAGAAAAAAAGATCAACTACACCACAGACCAGAAGATACACAGGAGAAGGCTGAACTATGCTCCTCCTTCTCAGCAGCATCTGGTGTCTGGGAGCGACAAGCGGACAAGTGGCAGTGAGGCAGGAGGCGCAGTATCCAGAGATGCTGCCCAGGCACAGGTGGGCCCCCTCCCACTGCATACAGGCTAGCAGAGAAGCCAGCCCTTCCTTTGTTGCGGTGGGTAGGGTAGGCTGGAGTGAGGAGGCTGGGCTGCATCTCACTCACAAGGCTGACAGTTCCCAACTTTACACCAGGCTCCCCAGGGCCATTCCCAGGAAGGTCACTGGAGAAAAATCTCCAAGTAGACTAGGAACGCCATGTTGGCTGCTATGTATTTCCTTCCCTTCCCTTCCCTTCCCTTCCCTTCCCTTCCCTTCCCTTCCCTTCCCTTCCCTTCCCTTCCCTTCCCCCTCCCTCCCTCTCTCCCTTCCTACCCTCCTTCCTTCTTCCTTCCAACACAAAGTCTCCCTATGTAACCTAGGCTGCCCTCAATTCACAATCCTTCTGCCTCAGCCTCTTCAGTGATGGAATTGCTCAGCCATGTGCCCCCACACCCAGGCTTCTTTGCCTTACTGATCAATATAAGTATACATGGACCAGTCCATACATCACCAGAGTTCTGAGGAAAGCTGAGCACGAATCCTCCACAAAGGGGTAGCAGTAAGAAAAGGCCACCTGATCTCAGCAGAAACACAGCAGATGGCTCAGGGAACAGAAAAGAGCATTTAAGGGTTTGGTTCGGTGTCCTCGGTGATAGCTGAAGATGCTGTACCAACATGAAGGGGTGGAATGAGGGAGGAGACGTGTTCTCTAAAGGCAGCCGTTGACAGATGATAATCAGAGTGACAAAGACATTACTATTTATTTAGTGGGGGTGGGTGGGTTGTATGTGCACACACTATTATTTACTTAGTGAGGTGGGTGGGTTGTATGTGCACACATTATTACTTATTTAGTGAGGTGGGTGGGTTGTATGTGCACACACTATTATTTATTTAGTGGGGTGGGTGGGTTGTATGTGCACGCATACATTATTATTTATTTAGTGGGGGTGGGTGAGTTATCTGTGCATGCACATATTATTATTTATTTAGTGAGGTGGGTGGGTTGTCTGTGCATGCACACATTATTATTTATTTAGTGAGGTGGGTGGGTTGTCTGTGCATGCACACAGGTGGAAGCCAGAGGTCAGCCTCAGATGCAGTTCCTCGTGTGCTGCCCACCTTGTTTCAGGGGTCACTGGGACCTGGGGCTCCAGGGATATTCCTGTCTCTACCTCCCTGCCAGGGGGATTACAAGTGCATGCCACATGCCTAACTTTATGTGTTGTTGGAAGAGTTGGGTCATTACTGGGATTGTATTTCTTTGTGTGATTTAAGAATCACCAACTTGAATCTATACATATTTATAAAAGGCATTCTGTTACCACCATTTTTTTTTTCAGATAGCCCTAAAACGTGAAAGGACATTTATGACGTACAACATCCAGTTATCAAAGGTGAGAACTTTTTCTTGGTAAGAGCAGGACATGGTTGCAGGGAGAGAAACTTGGCCGTGAACTCTGAGGTCTGTGCATGCCAGCAGGTGCCCCACCTTCAGGCTACGTTCCCAGCCCTCTGCTGACTTTTTATTTTGAGTCAGGGTCTCACTGAGTTGCCAAGGCACCCACCCCACCTCACCTCCCACCGCAGCACTCTAAACTCTAAGGAGAAACTCTTAGTTCCAGACATGATGCGACACATCTATAATCCCAGCACTGGAGAGGCTGAGACAGGAAGATTTTGAGTTCAAGACCAACCACGGATACACAGCAAGAGCCTGTCAAAAAACAAAAACCCAGCCGGGCGGTGGTGGCGCACGCCTTTAATCCCAGCACTCGGGAGGCAGAGCCAGGCGGATCTCTGTGAGTTCGAGGCCAGCCTGGGCTACCAAGTGAGTTCCAGGAAAAGGCGCAAAGCTACACAGAGAAACCCTGTCTCGAAAAAAAAAAAAAAAAAAAAAAAAACAAAAACCCAGCCAGGCAGTTGTGGTGCACATCCTTAATCTCTGCACTCGTGAAGCAGAGCCAGGTGGATCTCTGTGAGTTCAAGGCCAGCCTGGTCTACAGAGAGAGATCCAGGACAGGCTCCAAAGCTACACAGAGAAACCCTGTCTCAAAACAAACAAACAAACAAACAAACAAACAAACAGACAAACACCCTACATGTCAATGTTTAAGGTGCTTACTGCAAAAACTCTCTTTAGATTTATAGGCCCCAGAAGTCTTGGTGTTCGTGGGTTCCCTAGTTTTTCTGCCCACTCTACCCCATGTGATGAAAGTTGTTTTCAATGGCCAGTGAAGGAAGAGCCAGGCAAGTCTAGGATGCCAGATCATGCCTGGGCACAGCCCCTGCATGTTCCCCTTGAAAGCTCTTGGGACATGGAGGCTCTCGTATGTCTCCTTTGGGGCCTGTCTGTTTCCAGTAACTCTCTCTGGGTTTTTGTTGAGAAGCAAGTGCCTCAGATTCATTCCATAACAGGCTCACCTGGAGGACTTGTTTACCGTGAGAACCATAAAGAATTACTGTTTCTCCATGTCTAACCGTGTGTGTGTGTGTGTGTGTGTGTGTGTGTGTGTGTGTGTGTGTGTGTATACGTGTGTGTACATGTGTGTATACACATGTGTGTACGTGTGTATGTGTGTGTATACACGTGAGTGTGTGTGTATACGTGTGTGTGTGTGTGTGTGTGTGTGTGTGTGTGTGTGTGTGTGTGTGTGTGTGCTGTGACAGAACAGGAAGTGGATGATGGTCGCAGGAGCCAGAGATGAGATGGATGATGGGAAGAGAGGATGTGAGGGATACAGACTTCATTCTGCAAGATGACAAGTTCTGGAAACTGCTGTATAATGCTGAACGTTAGCAAATTAGTAAACTATAAACTGTAAGTGGCAAAGAAGGTGAATTTATGTTAGATGCGTTTACCACAATGAAAAGAAAAAAATCACGTGATGGCATACACCTGTAGTCCCAGCTACTTGGGACATTGAGGCAGGAGGGTCACTTAAACTCAAGAATTCAAGACCAGCCTGGGAAGATGGCAAGGCCCTGCTTCAAAATAATGAAAGCAACAACGATCAATAATAACAATAATATAAAAACCTAGGAGTCCATGACTTAACAGGTGGGAAAACAGAACCCTAAACATGAAACAGGATTAGCGGGTTCCCACTGTTGGCCACACAACTCCATTACCCCGCTTCAAAGCAGAAACAAAACCAGGGGCCTCCTCTCCCCACACCGCCGCCATGACAGCCGAACTTCAGGCAGCTTGTCCCCTCAGCCACCTCTCCTCTTCCCCTTCTTTCAGTCAGTCCTTTGATCCGGGTCCCTCATTCCAGAGGTCTGCAGTGACCCAGGGCCACACTGACCTCACCACCTCCGCTGCCTCTCCTTCACTCCAGGCTCCCTCTCCACACTCCTCCTGGCCTGCTTCCTCCCGCGTGGCTTGTGGTCAGATTCCTTCCACTCCTACCTCTGTGGACCGGGCTTCCTCTTCACAGTCTCTTTTGTATTCCAAGATGACTAGCCAATTCTTTTTTTTTTTTTTTTCATTTTTATATTTATTTACTTGTTGAGATGAGGTCTCGTGTAGCCCATACTGGCCTCGAACTCACTATATAGCTGAAGATGACCTTGAACTCCTCATCTTCCTGCTTCTCCCTCCCGAGTGCTGATGTTACAGGTGTGTGCTGCCACACTTCCTTTGTCTGATGCTGACAATTGATTCCAGGGCTTTGGGTGTGATAAGTATTCTCAACTGCACTACATTCTTGCCCTCGCTTTTATGACTGTTTTTTTTTAAAGGTATGCAAAATGGCTCATAAACCCTTTGAAAACAAGAGGCAACCAGAGTATCTTGTGTCAGCATGGGGCTGTAACATTTGAAAAGCATCAAAAGATAACAGGCGCCATCCGGCAGCTGTCCAAGCCAGCTGGCTGTACTGAGCCTGCTTCCCGTTTTGTATCCTGTAGCATCCTTCCCCACACTCTGTCCATCTGCTTCCTTCTTCCTGGCACCCTCCTAATTCCTCCCCTGGGTGACTCCAGCAGCCTCCTCCTGCCTCTGTTCCCTGGGAGCAAACGGGCCTGCCTGCCGCTCCACCCTCCTGCCTCCCTCTCTCTTAGCAGGTCCCCCAGCAGCACCAAGCAGTATCCCAACACGGAGCCTCCGCCCAGGTTCCACAGGTTCCACAGTCGACTGCCAACCCTGGGCTCCCCAGGCTAGCTGCTCTCATCCTATGAGGCTCAGCTTAAACCGGGGAGCAGAAAAACACTCCTGACTACCCTGTTTAAAAGACATCCATCTCTGCTTTTATGCATCTCAGACCCTGTTTTGCTTTTTTATTAGCTCATCACTACACAGGTGAGATTCTGAGACACTCAGGTTTTCCTTTGTCTCTGTCTCCTGACCCGGCCCACAGGCCATAGGAGGACAGGAGCTGATCCCTCACATTCACATCGAAGTCCCAACAATAACTCCACACTGGTTAACTGAATACACCAGGCAACCTGCTGTTTGACGCACAGGGTCTCATTCAGTCCTCCCTTGCAGTGTGTAGCTACATGGCTACATTTCCCTCCCCTTCGTAAACCAAAAAAGTGAAACACAGAAAAGTTAGGTAAGGAGCCCATGCCACACAAAGGGAAAAGAGACGATCAGGACCCAACTCTCCCTCCCTCCCTCCTCCCCACCACTGTAAATGTAGTGACAATGGCCCATAGGATTTATACAGAGACAGTGCAAAGTGTCACTCATGTTCTTACCATGTAGGCAACAGAAGCCAGTTCGTAGATGACAGCCTGGGCTCCCAGCTCTGTCACATTAACAAGGCCTGAAACAGCAACTCAGACAATACAAGTCAGATAGTGGACTAGAACACATATGTATTTGTATATAGAGGTGTGTGCGTGCATGCGTGCATGTGTGTGTGTGTGTGTGTGTGTCTGTGTGTGTCTGTGTGTCTGTGTCTGTCTGTGTGTGTGTGTGTGTGTGTGTGTGTGTGTGTGTGTGTGTCTGTGTGTGTGTGTCTGTGTGTGTGTGTGTGTATGTGTGTGTTACAGGATACAATTGTACTATGTCCCCAACTTCTGGCCCATATTTTCGTTTAAAAGAAATCAAGAATAGGCCAGATGCAAAAATCCTAGCCATCGCTTCTTGTAAGTTTTGTAGGTTAAGATGAGGTTCCTGGGGTTGCAGGTGTCTCCAGAGTCACAGGGGGAGAAGGTAGGCAGGACAGCATGTACAGCTTTGGGGACAACTGAAGCATGTCCACAGAACATCACCATTACTGTCTGACTATGAACATTTCCAGAAATAAGAGCAGACTAATTACAGCTCCAGCAGAAGCACAGGTCACAGCTGGCATGGAGCCACACTCCGCTGGAAGCCTGGCCAAGCTAGCAAGGTGGGCAGATAGTCAAGACACCTGGGTTCCCATGGGCCTCCCTCTCCCTGTTCACAAACCACAGGACTAACAGAGGGAAAGCCATGCCACTGCATGTGCTGACAGCTGGCTGAGGGTTCGTGCCTGCATTGCAAGCCCCTAACGGACCCCACAAGACACCAGAGATAGAAGCAGAGCTTCCATTTCTGGGGAACCTCTGGACTGTAACTGCCCAGGCTGTGTGCAGGCTCCCCTGGGTGTGGACAGACCTGCAAGGAAGGTCCCAATTTCGAAGGTCCACCACTCGATGCACACCATGAACATACTGGGGATGGCCAGGCGGGTGTAGGAGCTCCACTCCTGGAAGCACTCCCTTGTCCAACCTGGAGAAGAGGCGAGAAAGCAGACACTGTACAACAGCCACTGCCTCTCACACAGAGGCGGGGACAGAGTGTCAGGGAAGACCGCAGCTTGGGAAGGAAGGGACCAAGCTGGCAATGTGAGGAGCTGTCTCCAAAACCAAATATATAAACCAACACCCACAGTGAGCTACCATCTGGCGCTAACCATTAGGCTATCAACAGCACCCTTCACCCACAACAAAGAAAAGTAGAAAATAATAAAGATTGACAGATACAGAGAAATAGAAACCCTTGTATGCTGTTATTAAGAACATTAAAAAAAAAAAAAGGAGATTCCTCTAGAAATCGATGGTGTGATAACTGCATGATTCAGCAATTTTGCCTCTGGGTATAGAACCAAAAGTTAAATGAGATTTAGGGCAGAAGAGCAGTTTGTATGTCCCTGTTCACACCATCATTACACCACAGCCCAAGGGCGCTGGATAGTTTTATGACACAAGCTAAAGTCATCTGAGAGAAGAGAACCTCAATTAAGAAAATACCTCCAGAAGATCTGGTTGCAGATAGGCATTTTCTTAATTAGTGATTGATGGGAGAGGGACCAGGGAGGGCCCATTGTGGGTGGTGCCATCCCTGGGCTGGTGGTCCTGGGTTCCATAAGAAAGCAGGCAGGCTGAGCAAGCCATAAAGAGCAAGCCAGGAAGCAGCACCGCTCCATGGCCTCTGCATCAGCTCCTGCCTCCAGGGTCCTGCCCTGCTTGAGTTCCTGTCCTGGCTTCCTTTGATGATGAACAGTGGTGTGGAAGTGTAAGCCAGATAAACCCTTTCCTCCTCAAGGTGCTTTTTCATCATAGTGTTTCATGGCAGCAATAGAAACCCTGACTAAGACACTAAGCAAGCCAAATCGTCTTCAACATTAAGTGGAAAAACAAAATATTCATACAAACAATGTAAGATCCTCTCACAAAGGAAGGAAATCCTCCTGAAATAAGCAAGTTACAAAATGACCCATATTGTGTAGGCCCAATGCCAGGAGGAATTGACAGTGACCAGAGTGAGAAACGGGTAGGCTGGTAAGTGTGGGCGAGGAGTTGGGAGGGAAGGCCAGGGAGCTGCTGCATAATAGATACAGCCTTTCAACTCTGGAAGATGAAAGGTTTTAAAGACTGGAGGTGCTATGGTTTGAGTGTGTACCCCAAGCTCATGTGCTAGAACCGTAACTCCCAAAGTCATAGAGACTTTGCTAGAGAGAGTGAGAGCAAGCAGGCAAAGAGAGCAAGCTTCCTTCTTCCATGTCCTTTGTATAGGCTGCCAGCAGAAGGTGTGACCCAGAGTAAAGGTGGGTCTTCCCATCTCAAAAGATCTAGATGAAAAGTGGATTTCCCCTCCTAAAAAGATCTGAATGAAAAGTGGGTCCTCCCACTTCAAATAATTTAATTAAATTAATTAATAATTTAATTAAGAAAAAAATCCCTCACAGGTGTACCCAGCCACTTGGGTTTTAGTTAATTCTGTATGTAGTCATGTTGACAACCAGGAACAGTCATCACATACTTCCAAGTGATCACTGCTCTTAGGTAACATCCAAGGCTATAGAAATGGTTGAAACACCAGATAAAGTATTCAGAAGTCTATTAGTAAAAACAATAATGATTTCAAAGAAGAAAGCAAACAGATTTATGAAGTGAGGGGACAAATTCTATATATGGACAAGAAAGTCAGCTACATAGAAGAGAAAGTCAATGACACAGATGAGAAATTCAGGGAAGAAATTTAAAGTTTGAAAATAAAAATCCAAGAAGAAACATTAGGAGTAAAAATGCCACTTAATCGAGTGAAAAACACAATTTCAAAATCACCAATAGAGCAGTTCAAGCTCTATCAGGGGTGAAAGATGAGGTCAAGGGGAGGGTTGATCATCAGCTCGATGGAATCCAGCAAGGCCTGAGAGATGGGCCTCTGGGCATGCCTGTGGGGCTTAGTTTGGTTATGTTGAGTTGGGAAGACCAACTGTGGGTGGCGACCCTCCCAGTCTTCGATGCTGGAGTGTATAAAATGGAGAGTGAGCTGCACAGCACTGTGGACTCGGTACTGTCTGCACTCATTCATTAGAGCTGCCCCAAGCTCCTTCCAGTTCTCCGCCATAATGAGCTGTGTTCTTGAACTGTGAACTGGAATAAAACCTTTCTCCCATAAGCTGCTTTTCTCAAGGTATTTTATCACAGCAACGGAAAAGAAATGAGACTGATTAACATTTTTTTTTAAAGCATGAGCCTAACTTCCAAGGATTCTGTGACATGAGTGATCAAGCCCAAAAGTCTGTGGGAAAGAAAATGAGTGAAAATTAAAGGCACAAAGCTAGGCAGGTGGCTCAGCAATTAAGGTGTGTGCCATGTAGATAAAGGAACCAAAATCCAGATCCCCAGAACTCATGGACATACCAGGTGGGTGTCAGAAGACAGAGACAAGTGTTCCTTGTGGCAAGCTGACTGGGAAGACCATGCTGGCTAGTTTTATGCCCCTTGACAAAAGCTAGAGTCATCTTAGAGAAGGTAGCCTCAATTGAGAAAACATCTTCTTAAGATCAGGCTTTTGCCAGACAGTGGTGGCGCACACCTTTAATCCCAGCACTCGGGAGGCAGAACCAGGTGGATCTCTGTGAGTTCGAGGCCAGCCTGGGCTACAGAGTGAGTTCCAGGAAAGGCACAAAGCTACACAGAAAAACCCTGTCTCGAAAACAAACAAACAAACAAACAAACAAAACAAACAAAAAGATCAGGTTTTAGGAGGCCGGAGAGTTAGTTTAGTGGTTAAGAGCACTGGATGTTCTTCCAGAGGACCTGAATTCAATTCCCAGTACCCACATGGCAACTCACAGCTATCTGTAACTACAGCTATCTGTAACTCCAGTTCCAGAGGATCCAACGTCCTCACACAGACATACATGCAGGCAAAACACCAATGTGCATGAAATAAAAATTTAAGAAATAATAATAAAAAGAAAGATTGGGCTTTAGGCAAGCCTGTAGGGCATTTTCTTAATTTGTGATTCATGGGGGAGGGCCCAGCCCATTGTGGGTGGGGCCACCCCTGGGCTGGCCCACCAAACAACAGTAAAGAACACTGCCCAAATACTTCGATCAAATTAAGTAAGCTTTATTTTCTGACAGAGCTCTCAGGGAGTTTCTTAAACTCCCTAAAGTGGAGTTTGAGAAAACAGCCTCAAACACAGGAGGTAGGGTTTATATTAGCCCCCAAACTGCAGGCTGGGGGTCTTCAAGGGTTTTCATTACATGGGAACTTAGCAGAACATTTCAAAATTATTTGGCAGAACATCTTACTAGGGTGGAGGTTAGGGTATAGGGTGTGGAAAATGTCAAATTCCAGAAAATGGGTCAAGACATGGTCAAAGCCAAGTTTTACAGAAAACAGGAATGAACTAATTTTGACCTTGTAACAAGATGGCTTTTAATCTTAAAATGGAGTCAGGCTGGTCCATCACTGGTGGTCCTGGGTTCTATAAAGGAATCAGGTTGAGCAAGCCATGGGGAGCAAGCCAGTAAGCAGCACTCCCCCATGGCTGCTGCGTCAGCCCCCGTCTCCAGAGTTCCTGCCCTGACTTCCTTTGATGATGAACTGTGATGTGGAAGAATAAGTTGAATAAACTCTTTCTCTCTAAGTTTCTTGGGTCATGGTGTTTCATCACAGCAATAGTAACCCTATCTAGGACAAAGCCTAAACCATATAAACAAGCTCCAAGTCTAACAGACCCTGCCTCAAAGGAATAAGATGCAAGAGTGACTGAGGAAGATTCTCTACGTCATCCGTGGGCTTCACAAACACACACTGTGCCCAAGCACATCTGAATACACAGACATGCACACACCACATATACAAGCACATGAAAAAGGGAAAAAAGGCACAGAAAATCTATTCAATAAGGTTACAGTAGAAAATGTCCCAAATGTAAGCAAAGTGGTAGCCATTCAAGAGCAAAAATACATTTAGAAGCCCAAACAGGCAAACCTGAGAAGAGCCCTCCACACTCTACAGTGGACTTGCCAAGACTACAAAATGAAGAAATCTTAAAGTCTGTAAGGACAAAAAGCCTCCTTGCAAAGGCAATCCCAACAGAATAACATCTAACCTCTCAGTAAAAATTCTAAAAGTCAGGAAAGTAGAGTGATTTTATACAGAGAGACAGAGACAGAGAGAGATACAGAGAGACAGAGAGGTGGGAGAGGAGAGTGAGAGAGAGAGAGACCCATAAGAAAGTAACTACCCATCAAGCAAGCTTACTACATACAGCAAGGTTATCTTTTAAAACCCAATGAAGTGGGGGCTGAGGCTGTAGCTCAGTTGGTAAAGTGCTTGCCTAGAATTCAAGGTTCGGTCCCCAGAACCACATAAACAAGGCATTGTGGCACATGCCTATGATCCCAGCAATCAGGAGGTGGAGGGAGGCAAGGAGAATCAGAAAATCAAGGCTTCCTAGGATACATGAGACTTTCTGTTTCAAATAAATAGAGAAATAAAGCTATTTGTAGGGAGGAGAACAGACTAAAGCAATTCATGACCACTGCCAACACTGTAGAAGATACTTAAAGTTATCTCACACACAAAAGAGAAAGAAAGGCAATCTCAATTATGAGACCACAGGGAAAAAACTCAATGAACAGATAAACAAAGAAGAGTTGGGAAATAATTACGTCCCTTTCAAAAAGGCATCCAGCCCCTAATATGAATACATGAATAAGATGATCATGAAAAAGGAGAAAAGAATGAAATAAATAACCAGCCCTACCAAGAAAAAAGTCATAGAAATCAGCAAACCCCTCTAAACAATAGCTCTGAGTGTGAATGGTCTTGACTCTTCAGTTAAAAGATACAGGACAGTGCTGCTCAACCTTCTTAATGCTGTGATCCTTTAGTACAGTTTCTCATATTGTAGTGACCCACAACCATAAAGTTATTTTCATTGCTACCTCATAACTGTAATTTTGCTACTGTTGGTCTTAGGT